TTGGAACTGTTTCATCAAGAAATCTGTCCGATATATGTCTACATATCATAAGTGCGCTGTACACGCTTGTTTCACGCAGAGTTAGGACGTATGGCAGTCACCGCCCTTCAATATCTCCAGGGGTGAGAGCAATGCTCCCTGTCACCTTTCTCCTATAATTTCGCCATTGACAAAATCATGGAAATTACGTTTACAGAACACGATTTAGGAGATGTGGAACTGCTTCCATGTGAACAACTTCTTTGTTTGGTGTATACCGACAATATCGCCCTAATCTGTGACAGCTTACAAACGTATCAAGTTGTACTAGACAGATTAGCGCTGACTGGCAGTCCCTTCGGGCTTTGTTTTGCACCCTCAGAATGCAAACGTTTCCTCCAAGATTGCTGATTCCTGGTGGGGATTAACCAGCACTCTAGTAGTTTACCATTTGGGCAGTTATATCAGCGCCTAGGAAATAGGAGTTGAAGTGTAAGACCGTATGCTTGAAGCTCGAGGCGCCTTGGTTAATCTTCACCATTTATGATGCTAATACGACGTAACGCTCGTTTTGAAGTACGGTCTACAACGCAGCCATCCGTTCAATCCTACTATGTGGTTGCGAAACCTGACCCATAGATCGACATACGTTAAGAGACTAGTTACATTCAACCACCGGTACCTTCGTAGTTTGGCTCAAATCCGGTGGGAACACCACGTGAGAATTGAGCGTGTTCGGCATCCTGTTTATGGCGCGCGAAGAGCAAGTGAACCGCTCAGCACAGTTATTTCACGCACCAGACTCTGGTGGTTGGACCACCTGTTGCGCATGCCACCACACACTCCCGCGTCGTGCATAGTTTGCGCGACCGGGGTCATAGGGAATAAGTACATCACTTCGTGTTTGGCCTCAGTTGGAGTCTCTTGATGCCCGGGTTGGTGTCTGAAAGACGATACACTTGGATACACTTGTTAACATAGCGAAAAACCGACCTCCATGGCATTTATAGCATGCATTTCTTTGTCGCTCTCCATCACGCGTAACCTTTCCTTCCAACCAACGTCTCGTTGCTGGTTTATAAGTATAACAACAAAGCAAAATATTGCTTGTTTTGTCTTACTCTTTGCTCTTTTTTATTACACTGTATTCGTATATACTGCAGCCACCAACTGAGATGTTTCTCACCTCCACCTGAGGACGTGGAACGTGCTTCAGGTCCAGTAGTACCACCAGTTTTTCCCCATGTCCAGGTGTGCCGCATGATGTTCGCAGGTGAGCAGCGACCTCAGCATGGTGACGTCACTGAAATATAAAACAAAGTAGGTCATAATGAGATAGAACAGCACGCAAGCATAAGATTTAAATTCCTACTTTTTCACATCTGTATCTGTACGGTAAACTTCTAAACTGGGCGTGAAGTTAGTAAGGACGTGTTGAACCCGTTCCTTCCTAGGTAGGTTGTTAACTTGAATCAGGAATCGAGTAGGGGTATGCCATTGGTTGAGAGGTACCACCTCGTCAGATGACCATGAACCCATACCCTCTATTTCGTATAATGCGTAGTCCCCTTGTCCAACGGTGCGGTAAGCCACCAACACCCGCGTTCTTACCTATTGAGGAAAAGAAAGAAAGAAAAGATAAGTATCAATAGTACACCGGTACGCATTTCCGACGCTCTGCTGCCGCGCAACTACCAACAGGTGCACGTGGGCTATGAATACCGCGACGGTCCCCCAGTTCCTACGCAAGCTTGAACTCGCGCCCTCGGATTACAAGACATGGTTGTAGTCCTTAATGCTACTGGCCGCATCTGTTGAGGAGGACCCTAGGATACATTGTCGAACGCTTTCCATAGCCGGTGTAAGTCGCGTCGACGGACTTTCTCTAGGAGCAGTGACTTTGTTGATGAGTCGTATCCGCCGCATTGCGGTGTTTTTAAAAACATTTGTACCTCTTTTTAAAGGAGAATGTTCTCGAGACGAAGACCCACAACTTCTGGCACACTGTCACCCAACTAAAGGGACCCGAACTAACCAGCTGCTACCACGAGAATGTTACTCTGGGAGCCGTCAGAGATATCTCGCCAAGTCGTAGGGGCAGTTCGCTGCCATGCAACGATAACTTGTAACAGATGTAGAGTGGTTTGTGTCTCAGGTGCATGCGGTGTGCTTTGTTCCAGCAACGTTTTTCCTCTTACCATAAGTAGATCTCTCCGTCTCTGAGCGACGACGCTTCGAAAGACCTCATTGATCTCATCATTGCGCGTCGTAACTTCTAGTGCTTTTACTGTTAGTGTTGGTACAGCAAATTAGATTAATGGATCGACTAACCAATTTTTTGTCGGTGGTTAGTACGCGCCACTTCGATAAAGGATATCATTTCGTTTAGAAACGAAAGTTGTTTTCGTATGAAAGCCTGCTTGCAGGCGAGGTTTTCCCAGCGGCGGGCAACACTAAACATTGAGTACCTATAATTATCATCAATAAATCAGCATGCCTGTATCTCGGGTTGGCTGATAGAGTGTTGGTTGATTATTCAAGTTTGAAATTTTTTTTGCGAACGTCTCGTCACCAATCGAAGTGGCATCATCACTGCTTTACTGGTTGGTAGACTATTTCGCTAACGATGTCACCCTGACTAATGCCGAAGCGTTTACAACAAAGTTGTCCATCTCGGAGAACGTCATCATCATCATCATCATCTTCAATACGCGATAGCCTAGGTAAGAAACACACCTCTGCTAGTGTGCCACAATACAAAAGATAAGATATAACATTGCAGACTACAAAAGCTAAAGAAGTAACAACGCTAGATATCATATAATGCTCATCGCGACGAGACTGGACCTTAACGTTGTGCGATGGTTTGCCGACCTCAGCGATCCATCGGACTTTGCCAGCTGGTACTTTTTGCATCTTCAGAACTATTCATACGAGATACGTCAATGGTTAGAGGCCAGAAAAACCTAATATCCTGACCCTCCAGGTCAAGGTTCAATGTAGCCCAACGCCAAAACCCTGCTGTCTCGTGGTTAGGTTTTTGAACCAAACGCTTTGGTTAAGAACCCTAATCGTTCTCATGTCTAGGCCTGAGCGACTTGACACTATCTCGCTCACGCAATGCATCAATGTCTCTTCAAGCAGTCACTTGATGCTCTGGCCGTCGCAGATGATAATCAACAGCGCCCTATTTGCTGCAATTGAGCAGGGTGGATAGTGGCTTGGATGCCACTACTCAATCGTTCTCGTCTTCTTCATTTTCTTACGCTTTTCCATCCTTATCGTCACGTTCCAACCACTTTTATCTCCCTGTTTTTAACCACAGATCCTTGGCCCTCCCCTTTCTTGCTTCCGTAGTCGCTCTTCTAGTTTCGACTCATGCGCAATCACAGGGCGTCGCTGCAGTCCAGTCAACAAGTCCATGTCCAGCCAAACGGACAACGTTAGTTTACTAGTTTCTATTTGGAGCCCTCGGCTGGTGGCCGAGTGGCCTACGCTCTGGTTTCCTACCATAAGGTCACTGGTTCGAATCCGCGTAGGGGCGGGTGTCCTCGCGATATACTCAGCCCACGCGCGACTGGTGGTCATCGCGCGGCAACGAAGCGCCGTTACGGCGTACAGCTGACACATTATTTTTATTTTACTGTTTGGAGTCATTGATCCTCCTCCTCACTTTTTTACGGAGTGGCCAACAGGCAGCACTCGCTCGAACATTGGAGACCCTACCAATCGATTCCTACCGCTTAACAGAAGCTCGTCTGCAAGATACGAATTCCGTAATAACTGCGATCTTCATGTGACACTGGCGGTGTATTCTGATTGCGCTTGTCCGGTGTTGACGCAGCGTCAAATACCGGTCAAGCCGGTGTGAACACTACTCTGAGCTCTAAGCTGAATCTACCCTGATCGATTGGATCCCAATGAACGGCTAGGTGTGCGCTGTCAAACTGACTGGCTCGTTCGCAGCGTCCAAGTCACATAGGGACAAACGGTGCTTGTTTCTCAATACGGTCTACGTGCCCACTAATTGTAGCGCTGACTCGGTGAAAAGAACTTCTATCACCATTTGAACGCGCACCTTCCTTACAGAAGGGGCGCGAATACATGGTGCTAGTTGGTGATTTGAACACCTAAGTGGTAACACTGCGCTGATGAGCTTCATCTCGGCAGTCACCACGCTGTAGGCTGCCGTACCGATAATGGTGAGCGGTTGCCACACCTGTGTGAAGATGCTCGTGAGCACTAACTTCCGACCTAGCACTCGTAGTGACATGGCCCCCTATTATTGCGCACCTTCGTTCTATGAGCCATCTTTTCCTAACCGAATTATCTGTGGAGTGAGATCGATTATTACCCAAAACGGTGAAAATCGCGAGAAAGCCGTCTCACTGCCTTCACACCAGTTTCGTGCGATAATCGGCTTTATGTTATTCTAAGGCGAATGTTTGTTTATGGCATTGTGCACTCCTTCACTCCTCTTATTATTCCCCATAAAGTGCCAGTATGCTTTCGTGGCTAACAGTAATCCCTTTCTTCTATTATCCTACAATTATCGCTAGCGTCTCCGCGCAACCTGTCTGTGTATACACGCTCGATTTTCCCAGCTTACGCCATTGAGCAATTGTTTTTCTGAATCCCCTTCTGCCTGAAGAACAGCTCGCCTGCACATGGTTTGCTTGGCGATATATCCACGAATCTAATCTTGTTAAACGTTCGCTGTTCACAATGTCTCCATTTGACGCCCATGATGATGATGATTGCGGCTTACTTAAGCTAGTGCATTTCTCCATTCTTCAAGACGTTTACTTAGACGGCACCCGTCTAAGAGAATAACCGTACCCTTTTACTCAGTTTCTACTTCACTATTCGTTTTCACACCCAAACTCTACCTGACGTCTTTTTGACACATTTCGCATCTCTAACTAGTTCGCATAGCACCACTGCGTTTTCTCACTACAAATGGTTATCTGGTTTCGGTTCCACGCTGTGATCTCCTCCCTCTTTGTCTTTCTCTTTTCCAGTGTCGAAAGCCGACAGTCAGCTCCAACTTACATTTGCTTACTACTCCGGGTCACCTGCACAACAGACCACCTCACATCCACTGTGCCTTACCTGGACGCTGTCGCGGTAGGCTGTGTGAACAGGTCCCTGCTTGTCTATCTTCGTCCTCCTCCTCCTCACCGACCAATTCGGACACTGATCAGACCGAATCGTCGGCCCGTGGAGTCGTCGCTGCAACGCATCAGAATCTTGCTACTGAGACAGATCCATGCGGTGGCTTTGTCTCCTGTGAGCTTCTTTCTCCAGAATCACTGCGTGCACATTCCTGTTGTCTGTTCAGCACTGATGATCCCCATGGCTCGACCCAGCTTCAGTCCATCCGGAAAACAATCCGCGAGGTGTGTTGTTCCCACCATCCAGATGGCTCCTTGAACAACATCGACAGAATCCACCACGTGCATCACATACACCACGTCCACCACGTGCATCATCATCATCATCTGCATAGCTCTACGACACAGCTGCAGCCGGATACCGTTGCCTCGTGCCCGTTGAGCTCTGAGACGATCAGCACACAACCACATTGCGTTCGTACCGCGTTTTCCACTACAAACGCGCCTGTTTCTTGTCGCTCCACCGAAGCGCTGTCCAGTATCTCAGGCTCCTCTCGTTTACCCGGTATGCCGGAGGTACCGGTGAGTTTCCTTGTTCGACCTCACTACTGCTCCAATGGGCAGAATGTCTTCACCAGTATTACCAATCCTCTAACTCTCAATTGTATGGAGGTGGAGTTAACTGGATCACTCTTTTTAGCATTGACTGATTTGCGATTGCATAAGCTGGCAATACTGTGGGTCGTTTTGCCTTACGTTAGTGAGAACTTAACGGTTACTGATGAGATCAACTTTGTTGTGAGAATTCAAAATATGATCACTCATCTCGGAGGACATTGAGGGGTTGACCGTGCCTGACCACAGAAATCTATGATGTTATTCATATCTGGTATTCGCAACGGACTGACGGTACTGAATGCAGTCCGTTGTTTACCGTCTAATATAGGCCCTGTGATGCATTATTACATTACTTATTAGGTTCAAACCGACTGCATCGGTTACCCCAAATGCCCCGCGTATCTGCGCGTCGACCACGGCGTGAGTTCGCTCTCAATACTACGCTCAATCGGGAGAGACTTTGAAGTGACAATCCACTGACGTGACAAAAGTACACGAAGAAACCTACCGAAAGACTATTATCGCTGCTTACCGTTTTCCTCCATCGGAACCTCTAGATCGATGACGTCAAAAACTAGATACGCCATCGGCTTCGATGCATTTGCGAATTAGTTGACTTTTGTTTCTTCCTTCTTTGATGTTCAGCCATCCTGCCCTGCGAATTTTCCTTCCTTTAGCAATTCATCTTACCTTTTCTGTGATTACTATTATTATTATTGCTATTATTATTATTATGGTGATGTGAGTCAAGGCAGTGGGATTCACCGTGCTTCTGTGCTCAGGTAATTGCTGATCACCTGAACTTAAGTATCGCTCGGATTAGTTACGTTGATTAGCAAATAAGATGAAGTACTATATTTTGGTGGGGCACCACTTACTGGATAAAGGCTTGTGTAGTTTACCGGATCTGGAATTACCTTAAGGTCCTTGGGGAACACTCAATGATCTGGCAGCAAAGATTCAGCTCACCGACCACTGGTTTGACTTCTCTCTGTCCGTCTCGTTTTCCATGCTGAGTTCCACGGTCCTACCCCACATTTGATGGCACAGCCGTTTTCAACTCGGACCACACTTGCTCAAACTGTGTGTAAGACCGAGTTGTCTGTGGGTTGCTGTTGATGATGGTGTGTGGCCGTAAAAGCCCCAAGCATTTTTTCTAGTCCATATCACCTTGTTTTCCCATAGTAGTGTGTTGTCTGTGACAGCGATTTTCGAAAGCCATATACTCGTCGCTGGTTAATGTTCTTGTTCTCTATCGCTAGGTTGGTTTATCCTAGCTTTCAGTTATATGACAGAGATGCCTTAATGCGCATTAATAGCGTACTGCTTTTGTTGATGATGATTGTTCTCCTTAATGACATGTTTCCTTGTTGCGCTCGGTCCGCAACCGTTCTGCTTGCCACACATTTTGAAAAATGGATTTGTGTACTGACATCTTTTCTTTGTACGTTGATTCTTGTCCACATTTGTCGTGACGTCAAACCTTTGCTTACCATCCCTCGTAATCACTTTTAATATGATTAACACAACCAATCTAATTACACTCTCACTACCTTTCACTCCTTTCCAAGTTGCACTTCTTACTCCTGCTCTTACTTACTATCATTCGGATCACGGCAACTTAGCCGGATCCATCACGACTCATTTTCTAGATCACAGCTGGTTCCATCATACTTGAATCTGCTAAACAACCGCCCTGCCACAGTTCATCATGCCACCCGCCTTTCAAAAGAAGAACGAATGAAACTTTTGCCGGTGTTTCATTAATCCTTCACAGACACTGGTAACCTCCCAAATTTGATGCATGTGAAACTGCCGATACGAAAGCGCCTTTGCGCGACTCAATTAAAGTGGGAACGAACGGAATTAGAGTTTTGGCTTGTTTTTGTCTGATGGATATTTCGTTTGTTCCAGTAAATCGGCGTTTTAGGTTCACAATCGTGGACGACATTTGCCACTCTGCGCTTTCATCTACCTAATGATTTCGCCATATTTTGGTCTTTAACTAGAAAATATTTACACCGCCAACAATCATTATCTTCATAAACCTCCAGTTACTTATCCGAAGCGACCTGCATAGACAACTTAGACCTATTTATCCTCGTAGGAAATCAGTTCTGGTTTGACAGATTCAAAAAAGAATTTGGGCGTTGTGGGTTTGATTGTCGCATCAGTTGCTTCAGCACTACACAGCTGCGCTATCACTTGCATTTTAGTTTTGACAGAGAGGTGGTGTGTGCGCAAACAAATCTGCAGCAAGTTTGACTTTGGACTCGTATATGTAGGTCTCAAACGAATTGAAACTCCGTTTCTAGCTTATTGACCGAAACTCACCTATCAACACCAGATTGATTTTCTGTGGTGGTTGATCATAATTGTGAATTCTCGTACTTCGCCATCACGAGCTATATTATTCCCTCCCCCCCCCACTGTTTTGCTGGCCGCAGTGGCCCTTCGATACTACTACTGCTACTACTACTACTACTACTACTAATAATAATAATAATAATAATGGGTATATTCCTCGGCGATGCGAGGTGCAGTCCAACTAGATGGTTTAATCTATCGAACTTCCGCGATGGTCACATATCTGCACATTTTAAGTGCCCAAATAACGGTGAAATTCTCCATCTCAGCTGTGTCCATCAACAGTTACTACCGCTTGCTCCAATATTTAGGCACATTTGGTATCGACGTATCGTCTGCAGGTCTACAGCCCTCGACTATTTCACTCGTACAAACACTATTATGTGACGCTTATGACTGCCGGTTCCCGCGGTAGCAGCTGTTTTGTCAAATGCTTATTACTAGGAGCGTCGATCCATCCTAAAAGCGGGCGTCTTCTCCTGTACTGAGCTCAGTTGGGGATTCCTTTTTTTATGCGCTCAGAACACGAGAATGGCGAAGTAGGTGCATCGGAACTAGTTAGAATACCTTGAAGGCCTCTTTTGATTCACTTGATCGTATCAACTTGTACCACTGCCTTTTGTCGGAGGTCGTTCCTAGGAAACTGCTCCCTATGTTGTATCCCCTCTACCTTGGTTGCTGGTATCGAACAGAAGTCTATTAGAAGCTGTATTCTGAAATCCCCTTGAAAGGTGGGATACACAGTTAGCCTGTCCTATGTCTCTATTCCACTTCAGCCTACTGATCGACCGACAAGCCTTGGATGCACTGACGACATAGCTTTCTTTGTATCAGGCTTATTCTCCCCTCCAACCATGACCTCAGTCTCAACGCACGCCACAAACGGAAGCAAAATACTATTTCCGTTTCGTTTTTTCATTCTTTTCACTAAATTTTAAAAGAACTTTGTTACGGCACTATGGTTAAGGTGTGTTTCTCACTTCTAACGTGTGCGTAGACTGATGCGAAGCGCTGTACGCTTATTATGTTTCGCAACCTAAGCTTGTAAGGTACTGTCACAGGGCTTGGCCGATATGCCGCATGTTTTGTCCATCACCAAACAGCCACTGAAGATAGTCGATCGATTCACTTAAAGTGACAGTTGTACGAACTCTTGTGGCTACAACATCGAGATCACTCGGACTGTCAGCAAAGATTGTATGGTTTGCCACTCTTGCCATCCAAGGCCTGTGTTACTGTATGAATCAGAGACTTGGCCAGTTCGTGGCGAAGATATTAAACGATTGACTGTGTTTGACCACCGGTGTTTGAGGCATATTGCTCACACCCGATGAGAACACCGGGTGAGCAATACTGAAGTCCGCCAGTTGTTTTTAACAAGAAGCTTTCTGGTGCCTCTCTCGAGTGTTTGTTTAATTTTATTCGCCTGCCCTGGCTAGGCCGTATCCTCCGTATGTCCGTTGACCGGCTTCCTCGGTTTACATTATACGCTGTGGCTGCACCAAGTTGGGCTAAACCTAGGTCGCTGCGTTTTCTTCAAATTTGTCTACTCTACTTGTCTGCTTACAAATACTCTCTTTGTGGTCGAATTCTTTGTGATACTCTCAGGTCTCATAGTCGTAAACACTGCTTACTATTGCGTGACTGCTGCATTCGTTATAATGATCCTCACCAGTAGTGCGTCATTACTTGGTACTGGTTCCTCACTAGTGTAAACTCATATATTCCTGGGGACGACTCTACTGACAACGAACAAACGGGGCGGTTCGGATGAGGCTTGTTGTCCCAAGCTGACCATAGTAAAAGGCCTTACACTTTACCCATATCTCGTTTCCCAATTAGGTGGTTGCGTCGACGAAATGAATTCCGTTCGGCTGCCAGTGCCCCATGAACTACCCAGTAACGTACTCCGGACAGACAGTCCGGCTAAGTTCCATATGCTATAGTATCTAGAGCCAACTGCAGTCAGTCGCATGGGCTACAGTCTGGAAGAGGAGACGGACCAGCAGTACCTAATCTAGCCGTCAGCGAATTCCCTTAGTGTTACCAGATCAATGCTGTCGCATAAAAGTAATTTGTCTCCAGGTCCACCTCGACCACGTGCCAGGTTCGAGATGATAGCTATCGAATTCGCACTCGTGGTACTTGGACTACCAATTCAACGCACCGAGAACGCTGTATGAGGCGTAAAGTTGTAACTCAACCCCAGTCTTTTAGATACTACAGCCATTATTTAGTCCATGTCCCCGCAGACGGCAAGCGCCGTTTGTACGGGACACCTAACCATTTCACTTCTCTGACTACCGCACATATCGTTTTTCGGTTGCGCGATTATAATGGAACTCGATTCGAACGGACCAGTACCCCTGCATATCGTGCATGCACGGCATAGTTGGCCTTGAATTCGAGCGAAGCTATTCACAATTCTCCGTTCCACTTTGACTCTCCGTACTACCGTTGCTGTGACGCAGATCGTTGTTTACACTACTACATCGACTTGTATCGATTAGCGCGTGACGTCAACGCCGATCCAACATTTCGATCATCACAATCCCCTTTGTCGTTGACTGAACAGTTCAACTGTGACATACGAACGC